AACTTGGCTATAGGCCTATATTTAGTCTATAATATGTAGGCCTATACAATTTATGTGTATATGTAGGCCTATTATTATTATTATTTAAATAATATTATTATACGCCTAGTTGTGCCGTTTTCTATATGCTTACCAATATTTTCAACAACAGTATGCCTTTTTGTAATTTGTTTTGCAACAACGATTGAGCTATTTGACAATGCCTTACATGTTTTATACTTCCGATAGATAGCGTGTGAATCATAATGAATGCGAGCTGACCATGACATATTATCACACATGTACAAATAGCATACATTTTAACGCGCACATAACATTTACAGATAGTTCTGCCCGATTTGTCACTGTACAATGGGCATGGTAATTATAACACTCATTATGCTAATGGTTATTCAATATTCATTTAGAAATTAGAAACATTATTATTATTATCATTATTATTATTATTATTATTATTATTATTATTATTATTATTTATTATTATTATTATTATTATCATTATTATTATTATGACGTCTATCATTATTACTCGTATCATGTTTTAGTGTATCCCGTGACTCTGTGACTCATATGAAAACACCGGGGCATTCCTGTTAGTCTTTTTTAGACATACTTTAAAAGAAATATCACAATAAACCGACTCTATATTACTTCTATATCCTTATAAAAACAACGGACCTAGCCTTAACGATTGCTTGCAAAGGGAACTGAATTAAGTCATTATATCAATCAATCAATCAATCAACCAACCAACCAATCAATCAAATGCATTTTGGTGTTGCTAGCTTCTTCAGGAAACTATACAGGACACAGCACTTGAAAGCCACACTCTCATTGTGTTTGGTTTAACGATTGGAATGAATCCGAATACTTCTACTTCTCAAGCCAAGCTCATCGTCGTTACGTGTATTAGATGATATTAATTTAACTTTTATCGAATGATTCAACTCTTTATTGAGATATTTTGTATATGATTATATTTGATATGATTAAGATGTTGTCTTATAAAGTGGCTAATATAAGAGTTTACGTAATCGATAAATAAGGCCCTCATCCCCCACCCTATATTTTCCTTTATGTTTTGTTAAAAATTAAACTTCCAAACATCAACAAATGGATAGTGTTTAACCTCATTTACATACTGTACGCACTTATCCGAAACAGGAAGCCTAACACACTGTATGTCTATTATGTGGTAGGAAGCATTACATTATTATGTACGGCTGTTAGTCTGTTAACATGAATTCGACTAACAGTAGGAGACACAAACATGCGCATTAGTGTGACCTCATTATTTCACAACCGGCATTTTTAGTGATTTTATCTCTTGTCTTAATTTATATGAAAAAATAATAATATTAATGTTATCTTATAAGGAGCATGTCCATCTCAGAGAGCTGCTCGCTGCACCTTTTTCACCTGCAGAGAGCTGCAGTTTCTTTTTAGCATTTTCTTTTATAATTATTTTTTATATGTTTTAAATATTTCTTACATATATAGGCCTATAT